CTCTTCTCGCTTATGCCCTCCTACCATCCATTCATTTATTAAGCAAACATTTTGTTTAATGCACAACATGAACTTCCTGGTCTAATTAGACCTCTCTGCTCTCTGTACATTCTTAACTCTTCTCTTCAGTGTTGCTTGTCCACTCTTTACCTCCGTAGCTTGCTACCCAGTGTCTTTTTCTAATCTACCATCCTTACACCCACAATACATGAGGGCATTTTATTCTTTTTTTTTTTTTTATGTTCTCCACATTTGCTAGAGCCGATCCTTACACATAACAAACCCTCAATAAGCATGTGTTAATTAAATGGCTTGCTAATTAAAGAAATGAGCAATTATACAATAAACTGCTTGGTGAAATACAGGTTCTTGAAGCAGTAGGGAAGAAAACTAGTAAGCTCACATTTTTAAAAAGCCACCTCATCGCTCCTAATTACCTGTTGTTTGAAACACTCTACTTTTTACCCAAAGTCTGTGTTGAGTGTCTCCTTCTCTGCGTGTGGACCATCACAATCAAATGATGGATACGTTCGTAGATTATGTCTCTTTCTACTCTTTTCACACATTTTAGACAGTCAAAAATTATATCAGATCAGTTTTAGGAAAGGACAGAAAGTATTTATCAAAGGCAAAATTTGGGGTGCCTGGGTGGCTTAGTTATTAAGGGTCTGCCTTCAGCTTAGGTCATGATCCCAGGGTCCTGGGATCGAGCCCTGCATCGGGCTCCTTGCTCAGCGGGAAGCCTGATTCTCCCTTTCCCACTTCCCCTGCTGTGTTCCCTCTCTCGCTGTGTCTCTCTCTGTCAAATAAATAAATAAAATCTTAAAAAAAAAAGGCAAAATTAACCTTAGTCATTAAAATACATTTATCTTCTATGATGATAATCTCTTTTATGGAGCATTGGGTGTTGAACCTCTGCCATGAGTGTGACTTTGGGTGAAGTGTTCTGGGACGTGAGGCCTGAGTCCAGTTATCAAAGAGGAGATTTAAGGGTTGAGGTGACCAAGACGTTCACATGGAAGTTAAAAGTGCAGCAAGTGATGCAGTAAAACCCTCAAGACTGGAAAAGTCAGGCAAGATGGATAGGAGGCTTGAGTTGGGCCAGAAAAGACCAGGAAGTTTTTCGCAGGATGCAGATGAGCAAAGGACAAGGCAAAGACGGAGGGAAGGTGGTCATGCCTCTGTGCTGCATTCAGAATTGCACGATATGATTACTTCACAGCAGAACAAGATGCTGAAGCAGCCATGAAAAAGTGTGTGTTCTGTGCCTCTGAACTTGAGGACGCCACGATGACCCCTACGATCATTATCCGTTAAAACAATCGTTGAACTAACCAAGGTGCCCTGTTCCCTAATCTTCCTGAGTACACGTGTATTTGCCATCATTACCTTAGGGCCCCAAGAATGACAATTTTTTTTTTAAAGATTTTATTTATGTATTTGAGAGAGAGAGAGCACATGAGAGCGGGGAGGGTCAGAGGGAGAAGCAGACTCCCCGCTGAGCAGGGAGCCCGATGCGGGACTTGATCCTGGGACTCCAGGATCATGACCTGAGCCGAAGGCAGTCGCTTAACCAACTGAGCCACCCAGGCGCCCCCCAAGAATGACAATTTTAAAGAGCTGCAATTGCTTTACAGATGCCCTTAAATGAATTCACCCAAACTCTCAGTGAAGGAAGTGGCAAACAGCTGACCTGCTGATAGGACGCTGTCACCGACAGATAGTTATCTGTCTTGGAGATTGCTCTGGTCCCAGGAGATTGGTAGAACATACCCTTAACGTGGTAGTTAGCATTTCTTTCACTGCACCAAAATCCCTGGGTGCTGGCGATCCCCTTGAGGGCAATGTGTTAGTAATCTCTGAGTCCCTGATGCCTTGCCCGGGTGGTTGGCAAACACGAGGTTCGCTTAACTTTTGCAGAATTAACAGATTCCTTTGCTGGAGAGCTGCTTGTCCTTCTCCGTTCATTGTTTTATCTTCCATTGCGCTGTTGAGCAAGTAAAGCCTAAAAAGGGAATCTTGCAAATTCAAGTAGTATAGAACCCTCTAAGATTTCTCCCTAGAAACTGAATTGGGTGTTTGGAGAGCAGAAGAAAATGAGTTCGCCTTGTTTTGGAGATTCAAAAACTGGAACAAAACTTGTATACAACAACCACCAATGACGTAGCCATCATTTCAATACTGATCTTTGCAGTTTTTTATCTGAAAGTAGAGAAGCAAATGAAAAAAGAGAAAAAAATAGAAATGAGAAAAGGTGATTCCGTTGATCAATTTTAAGTGTTTTTGCTTTCTCCAATAGTTGAGTGCTCTTCAACCCTGTTGGCTTATTTTTCCTATTTTTCTAACTTTCTATTTTGCCCCCTTGGCAGGATTTAAACAAATAAACAAAACATACATGAGAATATGTCTGACTAAAGCCATATCCAAATGCTATATGAGCCACTCCATTCCAGAACCACGAGATGGGACAGGTTTATACTTCATCAATATAAATGTCCCACCAGTACATTTTTGTGTCTTGATGTCAGAGTTTTATTTACAAATTGATCTCTTATCAATTCAATCTCCAATCATTCAATTGGCTGGTAGACCTTGCAGACATTTGGGACTTATTTTACTCATGTAAGCATCACCCTACGATTTGGCTAGTCATTGTTAAGTGCAATGTTAAATTGAATGAAGTTAAATTTGAAACCAATACCATTTTAAGCCACGCCAGCTTCAGTTAGCTTTGAGACAAATGTAAGTTTCCAACGGAGTGAAAGCCCCAGGAAGTCTATGGCCAATTTTTCCCGAGTGAGACAAGAGCGACTAAGATTCCACGAATAGGTTCCAGATAAACCTTTATGTCATAAACCATTGTAATTCTTGCCCCTAAAATCCTCCAGCTCTTACGATTATTTTAAAAATCAGGATCGTTTCTAAATCTGAGACACATGAATGAGGTTGAGACTTACCCATTGACCATCATCATCTTTTTTCCTTAAATCTTCTTTTTGTTATCTGTTTTGCCCAATTATAGGAAGATTATAAACTTCCCATTTGTGACTCCATGTAAAGATCTCTCTGATTTAAATTCTTGTGTCTGGATGTGTTTGGCAGCCTTAACGCACCTGAGTTACATCACTATCATCATTCCTGTGTTTCTATATTTATTATGCACTTGCTTTGTGAAATAAAAATCAGTCTCTGCTTGTAAAATTGAAACATGGACAAGTCCTGACATAGGACCAAAGCAAGATTAATAATGACCTGTCATATAATATTCAACCATAGTAACAGCCACTCCAAATAAAACTTTCCCGTCGACATTTCCTTGTGGAGCCCAGAAGCTGTGTCAGTCCTTTTCTGCCTTCCCTACTGACCTTTCAGGAAATTTCCTTCCACTGATGAAATTGTCATTCTGTCACTACAAAAGACAACAGAGTAATGTAAAATGATGATTGGCAAAAGCAAATGATCAGGCTGGCCTGTCTGTGGCCGTTTCAGCATGTTCCTCTTTCTAATTTAAGGAGAAGCTAGCGTTTCTTAAGCTACTGTAGTTCCCTTAGCACATTTCAAGACGGTCTGGCTGGGCATTCAAAAGAACCAAATATAGTAAATGTAGAGTTTTAAATATTATAGTTCATTGATTCCTTTTTTTTAAAAGCAGCATAAAAAAGCACTACACCCTTAAAGCCCTTCTGTTTGTCATTGCTTTTACTGGGTATTAATTTTTTTTAAAAGTCAGTTTAGCTTGGCCAAGGGAAGCCCGGTGTTCCTTTCACAGCTCTTTAGGATCATGTGTCTGCTCAGGGGACCCCCTCTGCTCAGGGGTCCCTTCTGTGACAGCGGTGGGTGGGCAGCCTGTTCCGTAGGCAGGCTGTTCAAATTATGAGAAGGATTTTCCTCGTTTTAAATCAACAGTTACTTTCCTCTAATGCTTTGTGCTGTGTCTTTACCTGTCGACTTTTCCAACTCTCTTATTGCCTCTTTACACTTTTCTTGCCCCTTGAAGCCAGAAGCACCCTGATCTTTACTGGATCATCCTGAAGCTAACCATTTAAAAAAATATATATATATATTTCTTTTCAAGGTTCCATTTGATGCCATTAGATAAGATCTGTGATTATAATAACCACAGCACCTGACAATAGGCATTCAATACATATTAATTATATTTTTGTTTTAAAAATATCAATATGGTGCACAGGAAAGCACAGAGGCATTAAAATCCATAGGCCTAGACTCCATTGCAGTTCACATATTAATTTGTCCTAGGATCTTGGGCTATATTTTCACCTTTCTCAGTCTCTATGTTCTCAGCTTAAAAAAAAAAAAAGTAATAATAAAGCCCATTTTACAAAACTGTGCTGAGGATTATCAGTGCTAGTATCATAAAGCACCTATCGCAGTTCCCAGTACGTAGTAGATGCTCAATAAATATCGGTCTCCACACACAACACATCTTCCCCGCAGCCCCACCTACCTTGTAATGCAGAACAGCAGTGTAAACAGAAAAGACTAAGGAGTCTTGGCTTCCAGCCTTGCCCTTTTTAGTCCCACAGTCTTGGATAAATCACTTCACCTCCCTGCATGTTTCCCTATCACATAGTCCCACATCTGCTACAAATAAAATATTGGCTGGGGAATAACTTTCAAAAATCTTGGTGTGTTTTCTTATTGTAAGGTGTGTTTTCTTATTATTTCCAGTAGCAATTTATCAGTGAATAAACTGCTGAATGAATGAATTGCCCATTGCCCCCACCGCCTCCCTCCCCACACTGGAGCAGGGAGGAAAAATCAACAAATGGTGTTGAAAACCAGTCCACGCATGTTTATAAAAACACGCACATATGGGAGCATTTGCCTGATAGGCGCAAATGCAGGCAACCACTCTCAAACGAATATTTGGCAGAAGAACCCGTTGATTCAGTGCTGCTATGAACACTATGAAGGTTCAGAATCCCAGCGCTGTCATTGTCAAGGCTGATGCTCTTCTTTCTCATTTCTTTCAGGAATTTCTATTACATCACCATGTTACGGGACCCAGTGTCGCGCTACCTGAGCGAGTGGAAACACGTCCAGAGAGGGGCCACGTGGAAAACCTCCCTCCACATGTGTGATGGGAGAAGCCCCACCCCTGATGAGCTGCCCACCTGCTACCCTGGGGACGACTGGTCTGGGGTCAGCTTGCGGGAGTTCATGGACTGCACCTACAACCTGGCCAACAACCGCCAGGTGCGCATGCTTGCCGACCTCAGCCTGGTGGGCTGCTACAACTTGACTTTCATGAATGAGAGCGAGAGAAACACCATCCTGCTGCAGAGCGCGAAGAACAACCTGAAAAACATGGCCTTCTTTGGGCTCACGGAATTCCAGAGGAAGACACAGTTTCTCTTTGAGAGGACATTCAACCTCAAGTTTATCTCCCCCTTCACGCAGTTCAACATCACGCGGGCTTCCAATGTGGACATCAACGAGGGCGCCCGCCAGCGCATCGAGGAGCTCAACTTCCTGGACATGCAGCTTTACGAGTACGCGAAAGACCTTTTCCAGCAGCGCTACCACCACACCAAGCAGCTAGAGCACCAGAGGGACCGGCAAAAGAGGCGGGAGGAGCGCAGGCTGCAGCGGGAGCATAGGGGCCACCGGTGGCCCAAAGAGGATGGGAATACAGAGGGGGCAGTCACTGAGGACTACAATAGCCAGGTGGTGAGATGGTGACCCCCTGCCCTCTCCTTCCTCAGGAGGGGGAGGATGAGCAGGTGCACTGACCTTCTGCGGCGTTGGTTACCTTGGAGGATGATGGGCCGTTCTAAGGACATCTGGCTGTATGTGGCTTGATTTGGACACCTGCTTCCTCTTTGTCTTCATCCTATCCAGCTGGAGATGATCTGTCTTCTTCTTCTTTTTTTTTTTCTTGACATTTTTCCATCCGTGATATTAAGTAGGGTAGGAATGCATCCAACAGAGACGTCCTTAGGAGGTCAAGGAGGGAAGCACCAGAAAGGAAACTGTTCTTGAAGACATCCTTTGCAGTACCATGGGAACCCACAGAGGCACACATGAAAAGCCAAATTATGGCTTGGATGTTCTGCTGAAACTGGTCTGTTTCACACTGTCTCTGTAATGGAAATATTGGTCTGTCCAGAGAGAGAGAAAGAAAGAGTCCCTTTCAGCCCTTAGATGAGGTTTTCTGCCAACCCTCACTTGAATGTTGGCTCTCATCTTGAACCCTGTTTGAATGTGGTTTAAATCATAAGGCACAGTGTTTTGTTGTTGCAGTTGTTTTTAAACAAGATTACCCTACTATTGACCATCACTCAAGACTTACACCCCACAAAGCCCCTGCCTCTTAGCAGGGAGCCATGCTTCTTCCCCCATCTTTAAGGGACCAGCTAGTGGAATTGGGACGGGAGTGCCTGGCCCCTGAGAAATGAACATTGGTAAGGGCATTTAGGAGAAAATGTGCTTATTAACTAAGGTCTAAGGAGATCACACGTTACCGATTTCATTTTCATTCAAAAAGAATTGACTAATAAATTAAGGGCGGTGGGGTGGGGGGAAGCAGGAGGAAAACTATATGATGTTTCACATTTCCAAACGGGCTACAGAACTTTTAGCTTTTTTTCTGGGATATTTCTGTTTTACCTCTTTGGAGCAGTCATCTTCTTTGATATGGTACTGCTAAGTTTGAAATTCTGTTATCACAGAGACAAAGAAGTTTAAAAAGAATTTGGCCCAAAGATTAGGAGTTTAGCTGGCCCGTCTGCAAAAGATCTTCAAGGTCACTAAATAAATAACTGCTTTAGGCCAGGAGACGCGGAACTCAAGGGGCCGGTTGTCCCAGGAGTTTAGACAGACTACCTCCCAACACCTTGAATATCTCCAGCCTGCTGACTTTCTTCTTCCCACTTGATCTTTGCCTGTGGTTCGGCCGTGGCTCTAACTGGCAGCTTGGGCTGGAGGACAGGAAAAGGTGCCTCATTGCCAATTGCGTCTTATTTTCAATTTTTCCCAGTCACAACTACAAGAACACAAAGTCTGTCGAATAATCAGGGGAGAAGTTTGGAAAAGGGAATAAAAAAGCCTTGCCTGGCATTCAGGAGCCGGATCAGAATGGGTAGAAAGTTTCACAACATTGATCTGATCAATCCTTTCAAGGAGCTCAAGGCAAAATGAGTGAAACCCCTAAATCAGATTGAAAAGCCTATTTCATTGATATCTAGCATGTTTGATGTTTAAGCCAGCTTTACATAAGCCACATCGCAGCCTCCAGAATACTCTCGCTGGGGTTGAGAGTCCATCAACCCACAAGCATTCATGGAGTGCATGCCTGTAGAGAGGGGAGCCCAGGGTCTCCATCAGAGAGAGATTTGGAGAAGCGGCTTCGATTCTTCTCTCATTACCCTTGGCTTCATCTGTCACGTGAGGGAAGGCATTATTGGGGATCTCCCTTGTGTCACTTACTGTGGGAGGCCCTATTCATACCTTAAATCTATTCATAACAAGGTAGATATTATTAAGTCCAGTTACATAGATAAGAAAATTGAAACCCACAGACAATAGGCAGCTTCCTTGTGGATTGTATGCTAGGTCTGGCCGACTGCAGAGTGCAAGCTCTTTTGACTCCATCCTGTTTTCCATGTGGGACAAAAGCTTTCTGCCAGTTGTGCAAAAAGCCAGCTATTAGAGCCCAGAAGGATTTGCCACTGACCCATGCGCGGGGCACAACTCTGACGACCCCGAGCCGGCCATGACCCAGAGCCATGCTGCCTTGGGTGAGTCCAGCCCTCTCCACCTCCCTGACCCACCAGCAAGCTGAGAGATTGAGGATTTCTTAGACACTTGTACTTTTTGAGACCTATATGTTAAAGGGACCAAATCAATATTGCTTGTTAGTGGGTAGAAATTAGACTCACAAAATATTAGCGTTTCCCTTATCGCTGATTTGTTCCTGAGGTTGAGAGGGAAGAGAATACCGCTACAATTAATGAGCAGCTCTCTCTCTCTCTCTTTGCATTTCAATGTTAAGATCTAATGTTCTGCCTAGACTGGCAGAGCTGCAAATTATCCCTCAGCCTGCCGCTGTGATACACACACACGCATGCACACGCACACACGCACACACACACACACAATAACAATCCAGTGTTTTGTCATGTGGAAAATCAAAACAAGTTAGAAAGCATGAAAGCATTTGGGTTGTTTCTTTTAAACTCACTTTAAATTTTTTGGCAGGGAATTCATGCATAGTTGAGACTTGGAGGCAGCCTCTGCTAACTTCACGCTGCTCCTTAGGCATCTCGGGATTTATATCAAAAGGCTTTCCTCAGCCTGTCACTGAAGGCGTGATGTATGGTGCTCCACTTGAGGCCAGATATCAGAATGTTCACAGGAGAAACCATCTCTTTGTGTTGGCCCGAGGCCAGTGCTGAGCAAATTAAAAAGACCAACACGGGCTTCCTCCTTCATATCATTTCATTCTAAAGCAGCACGCTTGTCATATCCCAGGGGTTCTATGTTGATAGAAATGAAGAGGTAGGGACACAGTTTGTTCTTCAAAAATTGACTGCACACCTACATGCTGAGTGATGCTCAGAGGAGGGATGCCAACAGAAGACATCTGGGCCTTGGGATCCATGGGGAGTCAGCAGCTTGAAGATCCAAAACCCAATCAATTCCAGATACATTGGTGTTAAGAGCCCAAAAGGAGGGGGAAGAATTTCTCCAGGGACTTCCACATCCTACTGACCCCTACAACTCCCAGGTAGACATTCCTTCCCTTCTCTTGACAAGGGCAGCCCCAGATTGGGATGGGGTGACCTTGTGTGCATGTTTGTATGTGTGTTTAAATTATCATCATGGACATACTATTTCTTCTGTCTCCTTATAACTTTTTGGCAGCCTACTCTTGGGAACCAGAGAAAACCTGCCCTGAGAATTCTTTGGATACTCCTTCTAATAACTAATAACATTAGCAATCAGTGTTGGGCAACAGCTAAGGATGTCATGTGTGCTATGGTTTCTTATCATCTCAAGGAGGTAACTTTTTCATAGTTTAATCAAGGGTTTAAAATATGAGGACTTGTTCAAAAGTCTGAGTAGAGATAGTATTTATATGGGGAAGAAAGTCTACCAGAAGGAGACCTGGCAAGGAGATGAGCATAGATCATTAAAAAACAAACATTAAATCCATAGGATAGGATTCCCATTTGGCTACTTTAAGAGAGAAACTCAAAATAATAGTGACTTAAATGAGATCAAAGCCGTTGTCCTCTCATTTAAAAGGCAAACTTGTTGGATAGCTCTGGGGAGTGACATTAAAGAAGTCCAGGCCCCCTTCTGTTGCTCTTTCATACTAACACGTGCCTTCCAACTCGTGGTCCAAAGTGACTGCTGAGGCTCCTGCCATCTCATTTGTATTTCAGACAACAGAGAGGACGTGGAAGGAAGTTGCAGGTATCACTTCCACTTACATCTCATGAGCTAGAACCTAGTCATTAGCTACAAGTAAATGCAAAGGAGGCCAGGAAATGTCTTCATTATTGGCTGCCATGTGCCTTGATAAACGGGGGGGAGGAAAAATTAATACTGATAAAACCATCAGTCTCTGACACAAAAGGGAATTGAAAAATATTTCAAGTGCTTTTCACAGTTATCTATTTCAACATACGTTTTGCAAAGGAGAAGATTAAAATTCATAGCTTTGTATAGTACTTAATGCTTTCAAAACATTTGTACATTTAGGATCCCGTTTGATCTTCACTACTTTCTCGTATGTTAGATACATAGGACCTCTATGCATTATCCCACCTGGTAGTTTCCAGTGGAGCTTCAGGGATGTGAAAAGATTTCTCAATTCGAGTTCATCAACAAAAAAGTTGCTGAGAGCCCCCAGTCTTGACTTCATAGCCTTCCCTATGACTTCATGCTGCTCAGCATCAGTATCAGGATTGGGAATTGCAAGAATATGAAATCGAAGTCTTTATTGATTTATGTCTTTCCTTACCTTCTTGTAGAACTGCAGTGACTTAGAAGAGGCCAAGGAGACTGGTAGAGTTGGCTCACTACCCCTGCTTCCAGTGAGGAATCATCTTGTTAGGAGTGAAATGTCCCAAGAGATGGGCAGTGTTTCAGGGGAAACTGCGAAGCACAGACGCTCCAACACCTCCCGCTGGCTGTTCACCCCAGCCAATCCGAAACTGATTCAAGATGAAGGCTGAGGGAATGTGCTCACAACTCCTTAGGGAAGCTCGGTGTCAGAAATATCTTGAATCAGTACCAGCCTGAATAGTGAGATGTAAGGGATGATCAATAGAACCCTGCTCAAAAAAAACCAACTCCCTTCCTCCTTACTTCTCCAGGTCTCTGGAATTTTATCAGCAACTTACTGCTTTGGTTCTTAAAGGTTTTATTTGGTGTTAAATGAGTCCCTGTGCCCCTGCTCATTTACCAGAGAGAGGAAATGCAGGAGTTGCTGTCTTAGGCTAACATCTTCACACAGAGTTTATCGGATTCCTCTCCCACCATGACCTCTAGCTGAGAAGAAAGTCCTGTATAATGGGATCATGCAAGGGTGGGGGTTAGGGAGAGTAGGGGTAAGTAGAGAGGAAAGTAGGGCTCCTAAAAAGGAAGCAGGTCTTTCAAAGGTGGAAAGATGAGGAATTAAATATGTGCCAGGAAATCCTGAAAAACAGAAAAATGACATACGATTTCTGTCCTCGAGAACAAGGGCAGACTGGAGACATGTGGACTGTAATTCTTTGGGCCATTTCAAGGAGCTGACAAGGGCATGAGGCTCAGGAAACAGGACCAGAGCGTTGGCAGCATTTTAGGGACTGAAGTAAAGGCTGAATGAGTTGGTGGGGTCGGATCCAAGGGAAAGCTGGACTGAGGCAAAGGGTACCCCAGTCTGATCACAGCTGTGTCTCCAAGGCTTTCCTTTCTTGTAATTAATGTGCCTCCACTGGTCATCAAAACTCCAGCTGAACGTCTCCCGGCTGGGTCTCAGGGCTGGCTGAGTCTGAGGACTCCGCCCCCCCACCAGCCTTGGCACATCTGGGGAGCATGCAGCCTTTCCTTCTCCAAGTCACCTCCCTTTGTCCCCTCCTCCATTTTCTATGGGACATTATCCTGCTATGCTTTCACCATATTCACCTGGACACATCTGAACTAATTTCCTAAAACTTTGAATGAGCCCTTCTGGGCAAGTGGGCAGGTTCTGAGACCTGTGTGTTTTGTAGCCTCATGGATGGAATGGACATGGACCCATCGCACCGCACATTGACAGAACCAATCTTCCTTGCAGAAGTGCTGAGACTTCCAGAGGACTCACCTTGCCATGAACACCAGCAACATCTGCAAGACAAAAGCCCCGGGACTTCCAAGCAAGGACTCGAGGTAACCTAACAGAACTCCCCATCTGAGAACGCCAAAGCGCCGATGTTTCTTAAGCCTGTGTTCTAAGTTGTCTATGGAAGAGACTGCAACAGTCATCCTTTGACGCATTACACGTTCTGCTGCTCTGTGGGAACTCATCAAAGGGCCAGATGTCAGTGCTGAAAAACCTCAGTTCTTGCCGGGGAACACCGTGTTCTAAGGAAGCAGAGTTTGTATGATTTAGTTATCGCCATTATTTGCCTTCCACCAACCTCTTACGTTTCTAATTTCTTATGTTTTAATCCTTGTTTTTTTGTTTGTTTGTTTTTGTTTTTTTGCGTGTGTTTTGTCCCCCTGGAAGTACTTTCTGGGCTTCTTTTGCATTATTTTTCATTTAATGTATCAAAGATGAAACATGTTGGAAAGAAAAATCTAGACTTTTATCTGGTGCCCCACTTTAGATGTAAAGATAGTTATTCAATAGATAGTAAATTATTTCACCTACGAGATATTTCCTTTTGTTTCTGTGCAATAATATGTATGAACTCGGGTACTAGGAGATTGTATTGTGACATTATCAACCCTTATTGCTATTTAAAAAACGATAGTTTGTAGAACTGAGGATCTCCATTGATGTGAAGCACAATTTAATGAATAAGTTAACATATTAAACTGTTGTGATGTCAAGAACAATTGTTTTCCCCTGTGATTTTGTTAGACATTTTTGCAAAATGAGAGAAGTTGGTCAAACACTTTAAGGGATTTATGGAAATTGAATCCACGGGATCAGCTTTGTCAAACTCTAAAAAAAAATCCATGCTTTGGATACAAATGTGGCTATTGAATGTGAAGCTTCAGAAACATAAAAGACAAAGAAAATATAGATTGAAACAATTTAAAATCTCCGAGGCCAGGGAGGATTTCACAGGCTCTCAAACACATAAGCTTCTAGAAAGGTGCTTTTCAGTGGCCCTCCCTGTTTTTCGCCCACCCTGACACGTTGAAATTCACTTTGCCTGGAGAGCAAGGGGGTGGTGGGAGACAAAGTGGGAACTGAAGCAAAGCTATCTGGCACTGACTCGAAAAGAAAGAAAAGAGAAAAGGAAGGAAAGGAGGGAGAGAGGAATGGGGAGACAGGGAGACAAAACAGAAGCAGAAAAATACAACAATGGCAACCACTGTGGGTCTCTCCACAATTTCAAAGTGTAGCGTTGGTCCACACCGATTTTTAAATCAATACCTAGTTCCTGTAACAAATGCAAAGAAAGAGAAAATTCGTTTTTAGAAGAGAAAAGTCCCTTCATTCAAAAATCCCTTGAATGGTGGGTGCCTTTTATCGTTTTCTGTTTATTCTGTAGAAGTGGGATTTGTGGATTCCTTCCTTGCTTATAGGTTCGTGAGATTTAAAGCCTTAGAAAAATGCCATTTAGCCATGTCCCTCTAACTCATGGGAATCATAGGCAAAGTCACCTTGACTCCGGAGCAATCGCAGTGGCCTTAGGAGAAGCTCCAAAGACAACAGAAGTTAAAGCCAAACACCCGTGCGCGCATGCGCACGCCTACCCCAATCCCCTGCCCCCAGCACAGACGTTTTGCGGGCTTCTGTCTTCCAAGAAAAAAAAAAACATAAGTTGAGAGAAGAACTAAGAAATCCTGAAGATTTACTTCTTTCCCCCATTCACCATGAAAATAGTGTTCAAGATAAGTCTTGAAATGTCAAAAGTATTATTGAAAATCTGCTCTCAATATAGTAAGCTTTCCCTTTCACAGATCAGTTTTCATACAAAATAAATTTGAAAATTAATAGAATCTAATTTAGCATAATTATGTCTTTATTTTATATATAATGTTAATTTTTTATTAACAAAGTAATATGTGACCTTAGATCATTTGAAAAAATGTGAGAAGGAATGCATATATAAAAGAGCCAAATCCTGACATAATTTTGATCTATTTCCTTTCATTTTTTTTTATGTATTGGCAATTAGAGTAAAATTTTAAATAACAAATGTTTTAGGGATTTAGAATCAGACATTCTATATAATGGAAATACATATTTTTACCTCTTAATGCCCATTCTTGAAAACATAATTTTAATAGCTGCATGTAATTCTACCGTTCTGATATTCTGGGGGCATTCTGTTCATTTTCAATGTTCCCACTGATGTAACTGACACTGAAATGAATATATTTGTACATAAGTAGCATCTCTGTGTCTCTGTATACTGGTGGGAGAGAGGACAGTGGACCCTTGATTGTATCTTCCCAACAACCGAGAAAGAAAAAATATTCAAGATTGTCAAAATTGCGTGCATGCAATGAATTGTGGAAAAAATCAAAATGAAAATTATTCATCTACTCAAGGAAACATACATGTAGCTCTCCAGAACCACCTTTCTGGCCCTGGATGGAAGCGCTCATTCCCCCAAGAGGCTGGGAGTGTGGCTGCTAACTGAGAGCTGTCATCTGAGTCTCTCTCGAGGACCTGCCACCCCCCAGATCATGCCCCCTGTCGAGGCCAGTTCATCTCGAATGACGTGGCTGGGGAGGCCAAGGCCAGGCCTTTTAAGTGGGGACTTCTCAGCTCCAAAGCGCGCGCTGTAGGGTCAGCTGAGGATGTCACTGTAACGCGCCTTTCTGCCCCTCCTGCCCCCTCCCCTCCCCCGGCCAAGGTTGTTCCCAATTTTCCGCACACACGCTGCCAGCGTAGACTCTGCTCTCCCGGCACCGAGATTTGCCCGCGTTCTAGCCTCCGGGGCTCTCTGTTCTAGCTCCCGTCTTCTTTGGAGCTCAGCTGTTTTGAAGAGTTATTCTGGCATATTTTGTCCAACATTTCTACTTGTTTGTGGTTCAAAGAGGAATCTGTGTAAGCTCAGTCTGACAAGTTTCTAGAAACAAGTCTGTTCTTAAATTTTTCAATCTCCTTCACTTCTCTATTTCCATTGCTTTTTCATTTTTCACCTCTTCATCACGTTCTATTTTGAAACTCCGGATTTTCACAAATAAACTTTCACTCCCTTTCTGCTTTGGGGGATTCTCCTCTGTGTTTGCTCAGCCCTCTCATAAACCTCTCTGTTGTAGTCATTCTCTTTAATAATATTTTTTTCTTTTCCTTTTAATGCTTATATTTTACTTTATCATTCCACTTCTTAATTTTCAAGTATTAATCTTACATTTATGTTTGCATTTTTCATCTTAACTTGTTTTTATTTATAGTTTTTTTCATTGGTCTAATTTTTTATCTTTTATTTCAAATCCCACCAATTTCATCTAACTCATGAAAGTGCTTCACTTTTACTCAGTTTTCTATAAAAGTTTATTTCAGTTTGTCATTGTTGGTTGTAACTGACCCTTTCCTTTACTTTGAAACAAACTTATTTATTCCTATTGTCATGGATAAACATGTTGTGCTCAGATAAATCTGCCTGCATAGTTTCTGCTTTCAAAACTCTACCGAGGTTCCTTTGGGGCTTCATTTTTTTTTAAGGTTTTATTTATTTATTTCAGAGAGAGAGAGCATGAGCTGGGGGTGTGGGGAGCAGGGGAAGAGGGAGAAGCAGGCTCCCCAGTGAGCAGGGAGCCTGACACAGGGCTCAATCCCAGGACCCTGAGATCATGACCTGAGCTGAAGGCAGACACTTAACTGACTGAGCCACTCAGGCGCCCCACCTTTGGGGCTTTATAAGTGATCAGTTTTTGTAAAATTTCATGGATATCGGAAAAGGAAGTGTATTGCATTATCAATTACACACATACACACACACACACACAAAGTATACATATATAATACATATATATCCTGGTCAACATATATATCTCCTGGTATATAATCAAATGATTACTATATATGTATATATATAATTATGTGTATATTATATATGTATACTCTGTGTATGTATTTATATTATATAGAGATATCTTTACTGTATACATGTATGTGTCTGTGTGTATATATATATCTCTGTGTGTCTGTATGTGTATATATATATATATAAATTCTCAAAGACAGAGTGCATACTAAAATGTGTGTATCATTTCATAACAGTTTTTAGCTTATATAGTTTGGTGATTTGTTATTTAGTATTTATGACTTCCATATTCTTTATTGATGAGGCTACCATTTTCAATATAAAATGACCCCTTTTGTATCATTTAATAATACTTTTGCTTTCAATTCTACTTTCATTTTAATATTGTTTTCAACTTTTTGTAATTTGCAATTAACATGTGGTTTATTTTTTCTTCACATAGTTTGAGTCATGGTCTTAATTTGAAAAGTGTTATAATTTATAGATTATAGTCTTCTGTATTTTATGATTTCTACTACTTATGCTTCTTTTCTGTTTCATTTTCTGTTGTTTAATAGGCTATGATTTCTTTGGAATCAGTGGTAAGAATGCAATCATAGTTACTTGGCTTTCCTTGTGTAATTTGAAGATATTCACATTTATGTAAATGCAAGCATTTATAGGTTTCCCTTATCCTACTTCCAAGTGTTTATTTAATACCTGAAGTAAGAGCCCTGGATTAGAAATAATCTGGGAGTTTAGATTCACATTGTCACTGCTGTTGTCATATCGTCATTAGAGTTAGCATTGTAATTCTATCAAAAGGAGATGGGAGAGTGAAAATTAGGCAAAGTGTTAGTTCTGTCCTAATCTGGAAATACTGAGTTACTTTCAAAGCCAAACCCTTCACACTTCTGGCTGAGGCTTGCATGTATCTGAATTTAAATTATTTAAACAGTTGTTGCATGGGAAATAAGAAGATAGGACAATAAGAAGGACATTAGGGACCTCACAGATTGGTGTTTGAAAGCCATGGGGATAGCTAGCTTTCAGGATGTCATCAGTTCCTGTGAATAATATGTTTGCTCGGTGAGAAAAATTAAAAAAAAATTAAAGGAGTGAAAATTTTATCAGGACTCTAGAAATGCAATTGTCCTCAAGTTTAATTTATTACTAACTAAACCCATCCTAATACACATAAAAGGGGGATTTGAAATGACCTTCTGTAGTAGGTAGCAGGGTTTTTGTTTTTTTAAATTTAAGAATATAATTTAAAATATTCCTGAATGAAAACACTGGCAATCTTAATATCAAGGTAGTAGTTATTGAATGAATAGAACATAAAGAATTCGTTTCTAAAAAGGTAGAGCCTTCACAACTCCACGTGGCTCACTTTATCTGGGGCACAGCCAGGTGCTAATGCCCTCTCCCCAACCCCCATCTCTCTACCTACAGGTGTTGGATGACAAGAAGTCATTAAGTCTTTGCAAATCAGGGCATCACTCCCAGGAGCTCTGCTAGGAAGTCTGCCAGTTAAGTTTTAAACAGAAGCATATATATTACTGCTTTAAGAAGTCACTGCTGATGGTTAGTATTCCCACGTGCAGCTGCAAGTCACAGTCAATAATCCCGCCGCCACCCCCTTGCTGCTCCCCATGTGGAAGGTAGACCAGCGGCCCAGGTAGTAAGCTCCGTCACGGCTGAAGAGCCACAAACCCCATCCCATATCATCATATCATCATTTTATTTGCTCTCTAAGAGAGAAAGCCATCCCTAGATAAGAGTCTGAACTTTAGAAAAGGTGCATGAGACATTCAGCATCAGACTATGACGTTGCACATCCTGGTGTTAATAATTATCAAATAATAATTATCAAAATAATAATTATCAAATTCACTCAAAGTCACTGCAGCAAGCTTTCATTAAATTTCAACAGACCCAAAACTCAGATTAGCAACCTTGTGTCCCCCTTAATAATTTCTATGATTGGGTTGAAGACCAGTAGAGATTCCATAATATCTTTACCACCTTCTAAATCTACAGATTGAGGACAATTTAACTTTTTTCAATGTCTTTCCTTCCTTTTTATTGTTCCTTTGTCTTTCCATTTTAAGAAGTGTTCACTAAGCTTTCTAAGAGGTAGACATGATGCTAGATGCTAAAGTTAAAAGAATAGGGTGCGTCTGATGTTTTCAGCAATCTCTTTAGCACTCACAGGCCAAATGACAGGTGTGCTGGAAAAGGCTCTAACCTTGCCCCCAGCCGTACCTCCGGAAACATCTCTACTCTCCCGGCCATCTAGACCTGCACATGCCACCTTTCTTGTCCTGGGTTGTACACAGTTTATTCTGGATCAGCGTTTGCTCTGTTCTCAGACACTGTTAGCTCGGACAGTCTTCCCTCCTCTTGTGCCGTGACCTACAACCACAGAGCAGCTCTGCCTCATCCCATGCCTGGCTCAGCACCCTGGCATCCAGCCCACAGACAGGGCTGGGCTTCTGGCTGCCCAGGATTGAAGGGCAGGGGCATCCTTGGCTCCCTTTGATCCTAAATCCTGATCTTGAGGATCAGGGACAACTTCTGCCTTTTCACCATTGTTTAATAACAATGACCTTGGCACATGGTAAAAAGTAGATATTTGATGAATGAATTAGATGGAAGAATCAATGAGAGAGTGAATCCAACTTGTCCTCTTGCGCAAGCTAAGCAAATCCCATAGTGACCACAATGGCCCATGTTCTGATGAGTCCCAAATAGACAGTGCCCTCTAGATCCCTATCTCCCTATCTTTAGTGAACTACTGACCACCTACACCTAAATGTTTTCACTCATCCCTCAATTCAAATGATATGAAATGAAACTCATCTGCTCCTTTTCCATCTGAAATAATCTATGCTTCCTGCCTTACACCCCACTCAGTCATGAACTGTGCAGCTTACAGGGTGGGGTCACTCAAGATAGAAGGCTGACTCACCCTCAATTCCTCTAACCATTTTTGGTGACCCTGTCTCCAGCATCCATCCCCTGCTCTCCATTTCCACAACCACAGCCCTGGTTTAGACCTTCTTCTGTCTCATCCAGTCTGCCAATAGGAGCTTCTTATGCCCATTTTAACCTTCACAGCAACACTCTGAGGCATTACAACTTTTTTCTAATTAGGAAATTGAGTTATCAGAGAAAGTAAATAATAACCACCGAATGGATACATAGTTGAGAAATATTGGAACTAGGATTTGAGATCAGCTTTGCTTCGACCCAAAGCCCATGTTCTACTATGAAATAATTGTTCTCCCAGCCTCCAAACCCTTTATCTCAGCCTGACTCTACTTTTTCAAAGACCTGGTCATATCACTTCCCTGTTCAACCTTCCCAATGGTGATCAATTGACCTTAGGATCAACACTGTAGCATGGCATTTAGGGCCTGCCAACCTTCCCCCCCTACACACTCTCCCATGTCATCGTGCTCTTTACTAAATCTTTCTTCTCCTCTAGTTACGTAGAATTTCTGGAGAATTCTACCAAATGGTCTTGGGGGAAAAATACCTTAAGGGGATTATTGGGTGAGTAAGGATGGAGTTGATTAAGAAGATAAGGGAAGAAGTTAAAGGACAGCAGAGACCTACACATTCTTCAGGTGCAGGGACTTAAAAAGCAAGATAACCATTTTGTCTGAGTAGACAACTTTTATTC